GGCAATGACCGAGGGTCAAAACAAACAATAACAGATAAATAAAGGAAAGAGCATAGGGCCGCAATAGCGGCGATGGTATTGTAGCGGCGCTGGACTCGGAGTTGGGCCGGAGTTGGGCGCAGGGATGATAGCGGCCCTGTAGGGGCCAAGTGGGTGGGGTAGGGGAGTCATGCTGGGCACAGTGCCGGAGGTGGACTCAGGGTGGGGAGGTTGGTGTGGCTGTGGGGGAGTTGGCCAGGTACAGGGGAGCCTAGGGGCAAGTGGGGGAGTGAGCAGGGAGTCCTCAGGGAGGATAAGGCTGAGGTTGGGGCTCGCGCTCACGCTCGCATAGCAGGGACAGGCTCGGGCGGCATCGGGACGGGCAGGGAACGTGCCAGAATGCACGGCCGTGACACGAACATCACTCCTCTCGCCACCCTCCTCCTCCTTACTCCTCCTCTTACTCCTCATGACACCTCCACCCTTCCGTCACTCTCCTACCCTTCTCCCGTCCGCTCCGATACTCACCTTGGGACCTGACACCTTTCCTCTCCTCCACTCCTCTCCTCGTTCCTCTCTTCTCTCTCCTTCCTCTGACCCTCTCCCACCAACCCTCTGGCAAGTTATGACCTTCTGCCACTGTCCCATACCCTGTACTCGGACACCGCTCGTACCTTCGCTCCAAGATTCTGTCATAGTTCCGACCTCGGACTTTGACTCCACCTCGGCTTAAGTCCATTGCATTGGTGACCTCATACTATGTAAACACCATTGCCAATATTCCTCGGACTTCCAACCCCACCTCTGTAACCTCTGAGCTCCATGGATCATACTCAGCACTTTCGCTGCTTGTAATGTATCTTTCGCGTTTTCCCCTCATCCTTATTTGGACTGCTGCTTCTTCCCACCCTAGCCAGTTAGTCATCATCCCACTTCACCTCATCCTCCTGCCCCTCTGGGCTTCGCCCTCCCTATCTCCTTTTGGATGTACCACAGGTTCTGACCTATGACCTTTGGTACCGCTCCTCTTTTGTCTTCCCTTTGTCCTGTTCGGATGCCTTTGTTCCGATTCGGACCCTCCTTGTTTCCTCATGCTTTTGCCCTCTCCATTATATACTGGTGCTTGTACATACTGTCATATCCATACATACTCGATCCCGATCCAACTCCTGGACCCCCATCTTCACCACCTCCGGAGTCCTACCCTACCACCGTTGTTGCAGGGATAAACCCTTGCACTACAAAACAGTGCTCTTTCATTCTTTCATGTACATACATTGGCGAGTGTAGTCCTGTGACTGCACAGCCACAACTATACAGCACCGTATTACAAGGACCTTTGGTGAGATTGAGAGAGGCAGGCAGGAGATTACTGTCCCCCCTGTGAGCCTGTGTGACGTTGGGATAGATTCCCTGTTACACCGTCCGTTCTGATATTCACCTTCAGACCTGACACCACACCTGACACCACACCTCCTCTCACCCCTCATGCCACCTCCACCCTTCCGTCCTTCTCCTGCCCTATCTCCGTCCGCTCCGATACTCACCTCGGACCGAACACCACTCCTCTTGCCACCCTCCTCCTACTCCTCCTCTCACTCCTCATGACACCTCCACCCTTCCATCACTCTCCTACCCTTCTCCTGTCTGCTCCAATACTCACCTTCGGACCTGACACCTTTCCTCTCCTCCACTCCTCTCCCCTTTCCTCTCTCCTCTCTCTTCCCTCTTCCCCTCTTCCACTGACCCTCCACCAAGTTACGACCTTCTGCTGCTGTCCTGTACCCTGTACTCGGACACCACTTGTACCTTTGCTCCGAGATTCTGTCATAGTTCCGACCTTGGACTTTGACTCCACCTCGGCTTTAGTCCATTGCATTGGTGACCTCATACTACATAAACACCATTGCCAATATTCCTCAGACTTTCAACCCTGCCTCCATAACCTCTGTAACCTCTGTAACCTCCAAGCTCCATGGATCATACTCGGCACTTTTGCCGCTTGTAATGTATCTTTCGCGTGTTCCCCTCATCCTTATTTGGACTGCTGCTTCTTCCCATTCTAGCCAGTTAGTCATCATCCCCACTTCACCTCACCCTCCTGCCCCTCTGGGCTTTGCCCTCCCAATCTCCTTTCAGATGTACCACAGGTTCTGCCCTATGACCTTCGGTACCGCTCCGCTTCTGTCATCCCTTTGTTCCCATTTGGATGCCTTCGTTCTGATTTGGACCCCCTTTGTTTCCCTTGTGCTTTCACCCTCCCCATTATATACCAGTGCTTGTACATACTCATTTTGGACCTTCTGTCATATCCATCCCCGGCCATCGACTTCCGGTCCCTCCGTTCCTTCTGGTCTAACTCCGCTCCTTCTTCACTAACCTCAGAGCTCCCGTATTCCGCAATCCTCTCGGTACCCCTCGATGGTCACCACCCCCTCATTTCAATTTATTACCTACACCTCCCTAAGTACAGAGCCCCGAAGACTTCCGGACAGCTCCGACGTCCGCTAGCGCACTCCCACCTCTGCTGGGCAATACACTCGCCTGCCCTGCAGAGCCCACCTTCGGGCCTACCCCTCCTTTCCATTTCTGGGTTATCGCCTGCCTTACCGCTAACCCTGCGACCCGACTCATCGGTAATATTCAGTCAGCTAATGCTTTAACCCCGTTAGCTCCACCCCATTCAGCTCCGCCAATTGCGGACCCGTCTTCGCTGTAACCATATATATATCCTGCTTGTACATAGGTTACACTCCAGTAATAAAATCAACTAGAGTTACCCCCCTTCGGTTCTGATTGCCAGTCAGTAAGTTAGGGCATGGACGTGTCACTAGGCACAGCGCTCTTGGCAGAAGTCGCTGAGGCCAAAGCCCTCCGCTACGGAGACACTCCCTCGTCTCGAACCTGGTCTCTGACACCTTCAGTCTAAAATCGACCTGAAATGCCCCCTAGAGACTTCCTGCTCGCTGCCTCTGAAATTAAGGACCAAATGGACAAACAGCAATGGCACAGTGCTCTGCTTGAGTCGCTGAGGCCAAGGTCCCTCCTTGCTAAGTCTCCGGTCCCCTACAGAATCGTCTGCCCTTGCCCAGTTCTAACAACCAGGTCACAGTGCCCCACATTCAGCCCTTGAATTCCACCAGAATGCACCTGTGGGATCACTAGCTTCTCAAACAGGGACATTGTCAGGGACGGCTCGAGGAAGGCAGAGGTAGCGGTGTAACGCTCGGCGCTAGCGGCCCGGACGGTGGTGGGGCGGTGAGACCGTATGGTGGATAGCCCTTACTCGGGCTTACGTCCCTGTGTGGCTTCTTAGGCTGAAGCAGGAAATGTATTGTTATTAGGGTGGGAAGCCAGACTAAACTAGGGTACTTGCCTGAAGCGGGAAATGAGAAGAAGGTTACTTCTTCGGTCCTGCTTCGGCTTAGTTTATATACATGTGTGAATGGGTCATGTGGGGTTGCCACGTCACCCTCGGACAAAGCCGGGTTACTGTGGGTGGTTCTGCGGTCGATCCCGAGTGTTGGAGGGGAAGTACAAGTAGAAGTGCGCGGTGCATCCGGCGTTGCAGCACCCCTACGGGGTGCTCAGCATCGGACGCATCCGTGCTACAAGGGTAGGAAAGAAAGAGAGGTCGTCTGTGTAAGGATAGAAAAAGAGAAGAAGGAAAGAAGAGAGAATGAGGGGATGAGACAAAAGGAAAAGGAGGTGGTGGCAGCGGCGACAGCGTGCCCTGACAGACATTAAGTCTTTGTAGTAATTTGCATATGCCTGCTCATACTTGTCCGAAGCAGTCATAAAGCTCTCCAACTTGTCAAACCACTGCCGATGTATCCTTGCCCCATGCATCAAACACCCATTATCAATCAGTGTCCAGTTGCCAAGTGGCATATCAGGAAGAACACCTGCAATGAATGGTGCCAGTGCTGCCGACTGTTGCTCCTTGTAACTCACAATGGCTTTCTTGACTTCCCTTGGGTAGGGCACCTCATTCATTGTCATCATCTTCATCATCCGCTCCTGATGAGTATTGATCATATTGTAGGAAATTGCTTCCTTGTCCTTGTCTGCATCAGTGGGAGAGAATATAAGATGAAGCCTCTCCATGTCCGCCATCATCATCTTTGACATCCACTGACCCCCATAAGTTGGCCAGCCCGAGGTTCCACATCAAATTGGGAAAATACCAAAACACACTAAAAACACGCACCCCCCCATAAGTATTGCAGATCTTTTCAATACAGCCATTTGCCTCTGAAATGCACACACCTCTGATGTACACACTGGCAATTTCTCAACCACAACTGGGCTGTTTCACTCCATTTTTTTTGCATAACATTCCACTAGATAATGCCTTCACAGAGCTGAATATTAACTACATTGGCTTCATGGTTATTTCAGGAAACACTGAATTATGCATTTTTAGCAAATTAGCAATTCAATTGATCCGTGCTGCAGTGTACTTGAGCCCCACTTGTGGCATTGTTGAAGAAGGACAAGAACAAGTGCCAATGGGAGTGGATAAATACTCTTTGACCATATTTGATCTGAAATGGGCGCTACATGCAGCATAAAGTCACAGCAACCATAGTGCAGCATATAAAACAGAAAGTGGGTCATGGAAGCACAATAACAAGATGTGGGGCCCAATTAAGCGTGTACAGTGGTTCCATATGCCTGATCAATAATTAGAAATGATAGCATGCATCAGCAACTTGGGCAATGGCCTTTTCCACACCTGTGCACTTCAGAGGTCATGCCTCAAAATCATCCCCCTTGGAAAATTCATTATAATGCCATGGAAACTCCATATTTTCTTCCCAAAATTTGTGTGCACAGAGATAAGATGATGGTCTTTCCCTGAATAATTTTTATTAATTTTTTATATATACGAAATTTTCATCTAGGTGCTAAGCATGAAAACTGTGCACTTCGGAAACAAATGACTGTACTGCCACCAAGAATATTCCCCTTTGTTGTCGAAAGTGTTCTCCCCCACACACCATCACTCGACAAATGTCTTAAATTTCTTCATCCTGCAGCAAATTCACATATTCAGTGTGGGCCTTGGCATCCTTCTCAATCCAGGTGTGGCTCAATGGGTGAGGAAGCCATGAGCCTTTTGGTGAGGCATGTTTACCTCCACTCCAGTGCTCAGAGAAAGTCGGCTCTGATTCCTCCAACGTTGACTGCTCATCCATGATGGACTGGGCCCAATATTGTAGTTGGTCACTAAGAGTCTCCTCGACTGTGGTCATGTCCACATTCCATGACAATGAGAGGACTGCAAGGGACCCCTCAACACCATCCTTCTCAACCGTTTCTTAAGTTGGAAACCATCAGAATCGATTCTGTATTGACAATTCTCTCCAACCTTGGTCATACGCAATGACAAGCCATTTGTCATCATACTTCTCCAAATACAGTTGCTGTTGTTCCAGATCACTGCAATATTCCTGGCTCAAGTGCTTGAGATGTAGATTCTCTGGCTCACTCTTGAGTTGTTTCTCGACCCCTGCTAATTCCATCTTCAGTTTTGGGATCTCATCGTTACACATTCGAAATGCAATCTTCATGGCTTCCCACCAATGTCGCCCATTGAGAATGGGGATCATCCCTGCAGTGCTTGCCTTGCTCCCTTTGTCTGTCAGCTCCAGCTTTGGGTACTGTGCCATAGATCGATGATCAAATCGAGTCATCATGCCATCTGTGGGGAGCTGGACAAAGCTCCTCTTGATTAGGACAGGGATCATGAACTCCGCAATTGTTGTTTTGGTGCCATGCTGGATCAAGTCTTTTGCAATCCCTTCTGAAGCTTTCTTATTTAGCACACATGTATTGATCGAGCCAAATGTAAAGTTGTGTGCATTTGTTCACTGTTAGAGACCAGAAGCGAGACAAAGGAGTTGTCCCCATGGTGGAGGGCTTTGGCCTCAGCGACTCAGACCAGGAGTGCTGTGCCAAGTTACACATCTGTGCCCTAATTTACTTACTGGCAACAAGAACTAAAAGGGGGATCAACTCTAGTCGATTTTATCACTGGGGTGTAACCTATCTACAAGTTAAGCATATATAGTTACAGCGAGGTGGGCCCATGAATGGCGGGACCAAGCAGAGCGGAGCTAACGGAGTTAAACATTAGCCAACTGAATATTACCGACAAGTCAGATTACAGAGTTAGCGGAATGGCAGGTGATAACCCAGAAATGGAAAGGAGGGATAGGCTTGAAGGTAGACTTGCAGGGCAAGCAAGTGAATTGCCCAGCAGGGGCAGGAGTGTGCTAGCGGACGTCAGAGCTGTCCAGAAGCCTTCAGGGCTCTGTACTTAGGGAGGCATAGGTAATATATTGAAAAGAGGGGGTGGTGACCATCGAGGGAGTTGGAGGTGATTGTGGAATACAGGGGCTCTGAGGTTAGTGAAGAAGGAGCGGAGGTATGAAGTCCCATAGGATACAGGTTCCATAGGATGATACACAAGTCAAGAGTCTTCGACTCGCAACTTCGAGTTCTCACAGCAAGAACCGCTAGAGGACTTGATATAACCAGACTTATAGGACATGTTGAGAGTTGTACAAGCACACAGGTTCAGTTGAGTCACAAGAGGGGGTTGTTACAAGGGACGGCACACAAGACAGTTGTAGAGTGTAGTTGTAGTTAGTGTCAGAGACCAGGTCGAGACGAAGGAATGTCTCTGTGGCAGAGGGCTTCGGCCTCAGCGACTTGTGCCAGGAGCGCTGTGCCAAGTAACATGTCCATGCCCTAACTTACTAAACTGGCAACCAGAACTGAAAGGGGGTAAACTCTAGTCGATTTTATCACTGAGGTGTAACCTATGTACAAGTTGAGTATATATATAGTTACAACGAGGGCGGGTCCGCAAATGGCAGAGCTGAGCTGAGCTGAGCTAACGGGGTTAGACATTAGCCGATTGAATATTACCGACGAGTTATGGGGTTAACGGAAAGGAGGGATAGGCCCGAAGGTGGGCTTTGCAGGGCAAGCGAGTGTATTGCCCAGTGGAGGCGGGGGTGCGCTAGCGGACGTCGGAGCTGTCTGGAAGCCTTCGGGGCTCCATACTTAGGGAGGCATAGGTAATAAATTGAAAGGAGGGGGTGGTGACCATCGAGGGGTACCAAGGGGATTGCGGAATACAGGAGCTCTGAGGTTAGTGAAGAAGGAGGGGAGGTAGACCAGAGGGATTGGAGGGACCGGAAGTTGATGGCCAGGGATGGATATGACAGTTAGCAGGAACTGCCTTTGGCAGTTTCCATACATGATGCATGACAAATCTACAAATGGAAAGGTCACAGGAATCCTGTGAAACACAAACAACCTCGGCCAGCACCAAAACCCCAATGGGGAAAGCTTTGCATGAGGGGGGGGAATGGAGTAGAACGAGTAAGGATGGTAAGGTATCAGGATAGAGGGCGAAAGAGAGAGAGCGATGGAAAGGGGAGGTCTTTGACCATGCGATGGATATGGTTGTTGGAGACTTTGTATCCGTAACAAGAACCACCATTGAGAATCGTGCCAAATGGGCACATCATCAATAACCCATCGTTGTCAGGAAGCAACCCCATCATCTCGTGCATCAAGGGGTCGATGCTGCCCCCCCAAGTCTCATGGTACCTGGCGACGAACTCTTCATCTACTTGGCAGTTGCCTTCCAGATCGACCAGTTGACGAAGAGGAACCTAGGTGTGTATGAGTGCATGTGCGTGGGAAGCATAACTACTTCACTTACGATGGCAGAGCCCTTGTACATCCGATCTCGGTAGTCGCTGAACTCGGTCCACATATTTCTTGCCATTATTGGACGATCCTCATGGATCGATGGCAGTATTTAAGCATTTCCAGAGGCACTGACAGCTCGGTTACACTGGACGTGCATCTGAGTGAAGATGGCAGCCAAAATCAACTGTTCCTGAGAATGGAAGTTTGGGTTCGTATTGAGCAGCTCCGGCTTATTCTATGGAAGCGAGATCTACATGGCAACACCGACCCATACCGTAAGCCAAGCATGAGAGAATGATGATGGGAGGGTAGCAACGCAACAAGGAAGCAAAAACAATTGAACAACCAAACACAAACAAACAAACAAACAAACAAACGATCCCCTATATCTGGCTGGTTTGGGCTTACGAGCATGATATCGGTGTTTGGGTTCACCTAGAAAAGTCAGCCAACAGCCACATACCTCGTACTTTGCCTACCTTTGCGACCAAAACCACAGACGATTTGAAATTCCAACCATATTAGGGATCCAGGCAGTGATAGGCATGGGAGAAAGTTCGAAATAGCAACAGGCCCTGTGATGGCCAAGACCGATTTGTGCATGACAGGCAGGCAAGCAGCAGCAAAGTTAGTGTGGCACAAACATCAGAGGCCTCGTTGAGCAATGTCGAGCGACCAAGGAAAGTAGGCAAGATTACCGGAAGAATGCGAAAAAAGAAACAGATGCCAAGGACCAGTTATGGATGTAAATTGAACTGGGAACAAAAACGATACAAGTGGAAGGCAGATTGATGTGCAGTGAAGAACGTCGAAGCGTCCAACAGAATGCAAGCAAGACAGAGAGTATGTACCAAAAGATGATAAAAACTTATATAGAGAAAACAACTCAAGAGAATACCATGTTAGGTTACGTGAGTCCTCCTTTTCCCTACATGTACATGTCAGGTTCAGTCTCAGTGACAACCCTGGGGGAGGGTGTCCGGAAGTTGTTGGAGCTCCGGCCGACTCCCCATAATAGGTACTCCCCCGTGGGAAGGTTCTGGGCAAGCAGCTCACCCAGAAGGTTCCCACAGCTGTGGCTGTGATGGTTTCTGGGCGAGCTGCTCGCCCAGAAAGTTCCCACAGTTGTGGCTATGATGATTTCTGGGTGAGCTGCTCGCTCGGAAACTTCCCACCAGTATGTGAGGAGGAAGTTAGGTATCACAATACACCTGAGAGCACACACATGGACCCATGTGACATCTTTAATGATATGTTGTCTAAGCTATTATTGTCAGATGCTTATAATACCCAGCATCGTTGAGTGGCAATGTCCTCACATGAAAGAAAAGCACCAAAGCGCATACATGCAGGAGAGCTAGGTATCTCACCACCTGACATGAGGGCACATTACTATTTTGATGAGCAACATCGGTAAAAGAAGAGTACAAGCAGAGTGGAACTGTTATGCCATTTCTTATTGCCCTCCCATCTCCCCAACAGCCATGATTTGTACCCACATATGGTTTCTACCTTGGGATCACCAATGTAGTTGGCCAGACCCTTACAGAGCACCTCCGAGCCTAGGACCATCCAGGCCATTTCAGGAATCATATCAGGAAATTTGCACTCATCCTTCATTGGACAAGTGTGCACCAAACTAGAGTCCATGTTGAGGAGGCATTTCCAACAATACCCCTCAATGTCCTTACCGTCCCCCTTGGTGCAAAACAGGCCATGCTTCCACTTCCACTCGTGATATCCCTCCTGATATTGTTGCCATCCCTGTCGTGTGGTGGTGCCAAGACAGCATGATGTGAGGTGTGAGCAGTGTGTACCATGCAACCAACACAGTAAGCACCTGCCCTTGAGTTCCCAGAGACATTTTTCCACTTGAATGGGGACAGCAGCAGAAGCGTTGGATTTGGACAGCTGGAGCGAAGCGTTGATCTCCAAGGCCGAAGGCCCACTCTTTGAAGTGCCAGCCGATCGATCGGTGGAAGAAGGTGTCCAAGATCCATGCGGTTGCATCGATGTCTGCAAACCTCCATCTATCACCACAGTGGGCTCATCGCCATCATCTGCTGCCACCCTCAATTCTAGATGGGCCACGTCAGAGGGAACGCAGAGGGAGAGAGGAAGGGAGAGACTCACCGAAAGGTTTACCCCAGCAGAGATCGAAATCATAGTCATCCAGCTTGCCTTTCTTGTCCTTGTAACATGCCACACACAGCACTGTCCCTGGCTCTGACTCCCGAAGGCCCATACAGTTTTCACCCTTGCTATCCAGATGCAGTGAAGGCATGACCCGATGGCACATCGTGTACTGTTGAACGGCCTTCGTCATGGCCACACAACCCTCGAAACACTCCTGTGTGGCGGAAAAGCGCTTCGGAGGAGCTGGAAGCAACACAAGGCTTGTTCCAACTTGCAGACCTTGAGCCACCCTCCCTGGGCTCTGGTAGAAGTCATTCACAGAGAAAGGTTGCCCAACGAAGATCGAAAAGGCTACAGCATGGTAATCGAAGCCATAGTAGCCTGCCTTGTTGAGGCACAGGATTCATCACTTCCCTTGATGCCAATCATCAAAACGGCAACGACGGTCATCGAATGGGACATCAGCAGTGATGTACGAGCAGTGCAAGTGCGTGGCCCATTCCATGCATTCCTCTTTGCTCACGAAGAACACCAACCCCCGTTCATCGCCCTTCAGACCCTCCTCCACCTGGTGGATGACCTCAACCGTCCGTGCACGCCATTCCATGTTCCAGGCCGTCTTGATGTCTGGAAGATCCGTCTTGCAAGGCTCTTGACCCATCCCCAGTACCACAAACTGGTAGAAGATCTGTGGCCGTTGGGTCCTCGTGTGGATCACCACCGCAGACTGGTCTGGACGATACAGGAGGTCAGCAGCCTTCCAAAACTTCCAAGTGAAACCCCACAACATCGTGCCTGACGTAAAAAGGATGGGGGCATTCTGCAGCTGCATGAGCTTCCGGATGGCATCGAGGTAGGCTGGACGGAACAGTTGATCTTCTACGATCCCATGTGCCTCATCGAACATGATGCATCCCAGCCTTCCATTGTTCGCCACTCCTGCAAGCCAATTGATGAATATGTTGTTGCTGAAGGACTTGATGGCCACAGTGACCACTTGCTCCCCAGGAGATGGAGTTTCCATCGTCCATTTGCAATTGGATATGTTGGATTTGCTCAAGCGCCTGTGCATTTCCGGGTGGAGGATCTGGTAGGGCAACACCAAGATTGATTGCTTGGTGATCCCCCAAGACATGGCAGCAAGCATGAACGGTAATGTCTTACCAGCGCCACAGCCAGCAACGTATAGGCAATGACGCTGCCTCTTCATGATCTCACAGTAGACCCGGTACTGTGCAGGGGACCGAAAGGTTGCTTTTTGATCCCTGAGTAGGGTTCGAAGCTTGTTGGTGGCCTTTGGATCATATAGCCTTGATAACTTATCGCCATCTACCTCTTGGGGGACAACGATGGGGAGTAGGGGGGGTCAAGGACTCTGAGGGAACTTCTTGGCTTAGGTCTCCATAGAAAGAGAGGATGCTTACTGTCACATCCGTGCATACCCGACCCCGACCCGACTTCCGGACCTCCACCCTCTTCACCTCTGGAGTCATAACCTACCGCTGCTGTTCCGATACTCACCTTCGGTCCTGGCAACACACCTCCTCCTTACCTCTCCGACCCTATCTCTGTCCGCTCCGATACTCATCTCGGACCGAACACCGCCCCTCTCGCCACCCTCCTACTACTCCGCTCCCCCTTCACAACACCTCCACCCTCCTGTCATCCTCCTACGCTTCCCCTGTCCGCTCCGATACTCACCTTTCCCCTCTCTCCTCCCTCTGTTACTCCTCTGCCACCCTTCTGCCAAGTTACGGCCTTCCACCGCTGTTCCGTACTTCGCACTCGGACACCGCTCGTACCTTACTCCGAGCCTCCATCATAGTCCCTACCTCGGACTTTGACTCCACCTCGGTCTTAGTCCATTGCATTGGTGACCTCATACTACGTAAACACCATTGCCAATATCCCTCGGACTTTCAACCCCGCCTCCGTAACCTCTGTAAGCTCCGCAACCCCCGAGCTTCACGGATCGCCTTCGGCACTCTCGCCGCTTGTAATGTATTTCTCGCGTTTTCCCCTCATCCCTATTTGGACTACTGCTTCTTCCTATTCTAGCCAGTTAGTCATCATCCCCACTTCCCCTCATCCTCCTGCCCCTCTGGGCCTCGCCCTCCCTACCTCCTTTCGGACGTATCACAGGTCCTGCCTTATGACCTTCGGTACCGCTCCGCTCCCTCTACCCTTTGTTCCCGTTCGGACATCTTCGTTCCGATTCGGCTACCCTTTGTTTTCCTTGTGCTTTTGCCCCTTCCATTATATATATCGGCGCTTGTACATACTCGTTTTGGTTTAGTCCGAAATTGACCTGAAATGCCCCCTAGAGACTTCCTGCTCACCTACTGTGAAATTAAGGACCAAATGGACAAACAGCAATGGCACAGCGCTCCACTTGAGTCGCTGAGGCCAAGGTCCCTCCACGCTAAGTCTCCGATTCCACTCCGGAGTCGTCTGTTTCCGCCCCGTTCTAACACTTACCTTCATCAGCGGCTGCATGGGAAGGAAGCTCTTCTTCAGGAGGTTGTTGTTGCTGTGTCAGGGCCCGGCCTTGGACTTGGCGGCTCCCTGACCTCAACCCCCATCTAACCTGTCCCCTCACTATGCGGGGCATGAGATGTATAGTAAAAGAAAGGGAAATATATACACTTGCCTATGCAGGGCATGAGATGAGAAGAAGGGTAAAAGTCTCATCTCCCTGCATGGTTGCTATATAAAGGAATGGGTCACATGCCCACAACTATACAGCTCCTAGAGTTGTGTAGTGTGACCCGGAGGGAACATCCAGGTGGCAGTGCCCAGTAAGCATGGGAATGTTCTGGGCGAGTTGCTTGCCCAGAACTGTGGCTGTGACCCGTGGGAACATTCTGGGTGAGCTGCTTGCTCAGAAAGTTCCCACGCTATCCCGTGCGCGTGGATACACAACACAGAAAGGCAACAACAAGGCAACAATGAAGGAATGGAAGGAAGGGATTGGTTGGGGAGCCTGGGGCACCCTAGGGCAGGGTGCTGAACCCTGACATGTTGCTGTTGCTGCCGTTGTTGTTGTTGCTGTTGCTGTTGTTGCTGTTTCTGTTGTTGTTGTTGCTGCTGCTGCTGCTTCCCTGTCTCCGAATCCCCACATCTATAGAATGAGGGGGAAATAGGCTATTGCCACTGCACCCTCGAGACTTTCTGGGCTTGAAAAAACAGAGAAAGATCACACCTTTCTAACGGTACCAATCATTTGAAATTTGGTTCAGCCATTGAAAAGTTATAAGCATCAACATTTCTGCATCCTGCACCCTCAACATGAAGCCTCGATGTTTTCTTGGTCAGTGTTGAGAATTATGGGCGTCAATAGGCATTCCAGATAGCTGTAGGCGAGATCTACAAGATGAAAAAAAGAGCATGTGAATAGCTGCTCTGGGTAAGGAGGTATGGGAAAAATAAAATTTAGAGGAAAAAAATAGGGAAAAATGCGGGGTGTTCTGGAGTGGAACATGGTGAGGAGATAGAATGGGGAGATATTTTATTTGGAATTTTTTAGGGAGGTTTTTTTTTGAGGGTGCACTTGGGTGCAGAGGGTGCAAGTGAGGGTGCAAGTGAAATTAAAAGTGAAATACCTAAGTGAAAAGAATGGATATAAATATGGGGTCTTTTTCAGTATGATATATTTAGCAGAGAGAGTGGAATAGAAATTTTTAATATTTTCTTTTTTTGGAAAATAAATTTTGAGGGTGCAAGTGAAATAAAAGTGGAATAGGTTTTGACTGGATTGATGAAAATTGAAATGATTGATAGGGTTAGGAAGGTGTGATTTTAGTGAAAATTATAAAAGCAAAAAAAAAGAGAAGTGGCTGTGCAGTTTTTGCACAGCCACAGAGGAAATTTTTTGATAAGTAGAAAGGTGGGAGAAGAGAGCCAGAAAGGTTAGAACTGAAGTTAAGAAAAGGACTTGAGAAGACAACAAGGTAACAATGCAACAATGTGACAACAAGACAACTAGACAAGGGAAGAAGCAAAAATGCAAAGCTAAGGAACTAAAAAAAAAAAGTGAGAACTTTGGTTGAAGTTGAGAACTTAAGAAGGTGGGATGGAAGAAGGCAAGAAGAGGACAGGAGGACAAGAAGTGGGTACTGTGGAACTGAGGAGGGGACTGTCAGGGATGCGTCCAGGGTGGAGGGGGCCTGTTAGATCAGGCGGATTCGGATGACTCCAGAGTGGAATCGGAGACTTAGCGTGGAAGGACCTCAGCCTCAGCGACTCAAGTGGAGCGCTGTGCCATTGCTGGTTGTCCTGGGGGTCCCTAATTTTGGATCTACAACCATAAGGCCAAAGTGACGAGAAAATCCCCAACCCCAACCCCAACTGCCAAGCCCCGTCATTCTTGTTCCCAAAACTCTCAACAAGAGTATCCTGGATCAATCAGGGTTAATAGCCATGACCCCTGCATCATGGGGTCCTTTGCCACTTCCTCCATCAGTAAATCCTGTCCCCTCATCCAGCTCTTTAGCACCCATGAGCCCCCAGCCTTCACACTCTCCTCTCCCTCAGAGCCCACCACCTTCCATATCCATATCCCGCTCATGGCACAGGAGACAACCTACAGTGTAGGTAGATTATTTTTGACATCTCACTTTGCTTCCGAAGAACTTTCCTTTCTCAGCTTGCAATACACACCTAAACTGCATGTAAACTAGCGGAAAAGCAGTGTTTTTGGATACTTCATTGATGTATCAGAGCAGTTTTATGTACTTTTGAGTAACGAAAAAATTTGCTCAAAAAAATTGGCAGTGAATTAGAATGTGATCACATGCCACCCAAATGCCGTCCCTCTGAAATGCCTGCCCTAAATGTTCATGAGTGCCAAGCCCATGAACAGAGAACAGGAAGCTCAAGGACATTTGGGAAGCAGCTTAAGTGCTCAGACTTTGAGGCTGACTCCATATCTGAATGTTCCACCACAAATTGGGATCTCTCAACTGATGCGGGCTCTGAGGAATCTGAAGAGGAAGACTATGTAAGGAGCTTGGAGACATTTTATAATGTTTTTGAGAAGCTGAGCTGCTGAGGGAAAGGAGTTTGGAAGTACAAATCTCATAGACAACTCTGTTTGACAAGTAATCTTCCTTACCTCCACCTTCCAAAAAAGGAAATCAATTTCCGAAAAAAAATGGCAGTCTTGCCAAATTTCAAAAACTTGTAGAATAATGCGTTATATGCTTTCTTTATAGTACAATTTTCATTTGAGACAAAGTTGACTAGTAGGATTTTTTGCTGTGGAGTTGTCATGGATAATCTACCTACACTGTAAGGAGTCCTTATTGCCTCCCCTAGAGGGGCAGTCCAATTCAGAGCTCTCCACACATGATGATGCCAGCCTCGTTGGGCTGACAGCCTCAGCATCTAGCCTGACCAGGAGGAATCCACCCAGGAAGAGGTCAAGGAAGAGTTATGATACTGAGGAAGCGCAGATCAAGGGAAAACAACCCAGAAAGGTAGCTGCTCCAAGACAGGTGAGAACAATATTATGCAAAATCACAACTTATTTCATCATGTATTTGTGAGAAGGAAAGCTCAAGGAAGAAGGGCGGTGCACGGGGCAATCCCCAGGATGAGTCGCCATTGGCAACTCATCCTGAAGTTTCTCCTGACATGTCGGAAAATGCTCCAAGTTCACAGCCAAGGGCAGTAGAGATTTCACCTGCTGTCATGGTAGGGTGGTAAAAGTGCTTCATGGTGTGATTTCTGATGTACTTCTGCAGTCAGGACTCACTCTGAAGAGGTTCTTCAAATTGACAGCGTTTCATGGTTTGGTGGGTTGTTATTGTTATGTATTTGACACATGGACTGACAGAATGAGAATGAGTAGCCATACAATGACACAAAGATGGCCATTACCGCTGCTAGAGGCAAGGACTATATTGAGGACCTGGCTTACTTTGTCCATCCATCTTCCATGCCCAACCTCTCAACTTTTAAAAAGGGGGAACTTGAAATACTCCAATCCTCTGAACCCTCTGAGTTCTGTCAGGTTATTAGAGAGCTGTTCCTTGTGGAAGGCAGGGAAAAGGAGCCATTCCTGCTTTCCACTGTGCTGCATGTCGCAGAACTTGACCAATGCACCCCTGTTCAGGCGCTGTGTTGGATCTTGAGTAAAAAATGCCAGTTGGCTCATTTAATATGTTTAGATATGGATGACCCCAATCCACATGCAGAAAACCACATCTACTCCACCACACTCTTGAGTGCATTTGCTCAGATGGAGGACCTGATGAAAGGCCAGATACTTAATGTGCTATCTCTGCCTAGTATGAGAAGCCCACCACCTGGGAGTGCGAGCAGGTGCGTCGGAAGTGTTAAAGTGGATGTGTCCCGAGTTGACATCTTGATTTTAGCCTTCTTGCAGATGACTATTTGGCAATAAATTCTACATTGTAACAGGTCTATCGCCTAGACTTGAGACAGAGAGAAAGGGGGAGGGTGGTAGTGTGCGTGGGTGTGATTCATGGAGCCGGGTTTTGGTCCTGGGCGCTACTGAGTCTGCAAAAACCTCAAACAAACACTCACCTATGTCTCTCTTGGACATCAAGGCTGAGCATTATGATGTGAGGGGTCTTAGACGTGAGCCACTAGCTCAGAGGGGGCGTTAGGGTCGTGGATGGCATCTTTGCCACTTGGATGTAACTTCTGCTTGTCCCTTCACGGGTCTATTTAGTACTAACTTGTTATGTACAAGCTGTTATCTATTTTATATGAGTTGGAAATGGAATGAATGGAATGGGGGAATGTAAACGGGCTGTTAGGCAACCGTAAATGATGAATATCCAATTGGGAACAAAGAAACAATAAAAGAAATATGAATGAATGGGGAATATATGATAATGGATCCGAAATGGGAATTGTGAAAGTTAACTCCGCAACACTTCGCTACAGCGCCCGCCTATCCTCCCGTCAGCAACCTCCTCGTCTCCAGCTTCCCAACGAGCCCTTATTCATCCCAATTGGTGCAGTACTTCTTGAGATGTGGCCATTGACAGGTGCTGTCAAGACCATGTGAGACTCTACTGCGTGCTGAACCATCCGGGTATGGGATTGCCATTCTGGGAAATGCTCCGGGGGTGAAGAAGGATGGTAGAGCATCACTATCAGGTAGAAAAACGGCTGGGTTGTATGTGTGGTTATGGAGATCTAGAGAGGGGGTGAAATTGGCGGCATGGTTGGGTGTGTGTCAGAGACCAGGTTGAGATGAAGGAGTGTCTCTGTGGTGGAGGGCTTCGGCCTCAGCGACTTATGCCAGGAGCACTGTGCCAAGTAACACGTCCATGCCCTAACTTACTAAACTGGCAACCAGAACTGAAGGGGGTAAACTCTAGTTGATTTTATTACTGAGGTGTAACCTATGTACATGTTGAGTATATATATAGTTACAACGAGGGCGGGCCTGCAAATGGCGGAGCCGAGCTAATGGGGTTAGACATTAGCCGATTGAATATTACTGACAAGTCAGGTTACGGGGTTAACGGAATGGTAGGCAATAACCCAGAAACGGAAAGGAGGGCGACCTCCAAAGTTTCCCTGCAGACATCCAGGTACAGGTTGTCCACGGCCAGCACCGAAAGAGGGTGCTGGAAATGCATGGAGGTAGTGGAAGACGATGGCCATGGATGGATATGACATTCACAGTTGATACTGAAATATTCCTAAAATGTGCCTTTCTGCTGCCTTCATCCCAGTACTTTTTTGTCAGTCAACTTGGGAATGGAACTGGTGATCAACATACATCAGCTGCTTTTGCCTTCACCTCAGCATTTTGAAGATCATGTAGGCGCCTGACAGACGACATCATACAACGATCTTAGAGATCGTGAATACTCTGAGGCTCATATTCCCGTGATGCTGGCATGCTCACTACACGAGCACCAAGTAGCTGACCATCCATCATCTGCCCCCTCCCTCACCAGTCATCGTACCTCCTTGCCAACGGTATGTTCCCTTTGGGAATGCCAAGTCACTGAAGGCCCCACTAGTCATTCCTCACTGTACACTCATGTTAATAACCTGCTACTGGTACATTTGCGCTGCAAATGCCAAGTAACTGATAGGAACGATATGAAATCTTCACGACAGGATGGTGTGCAGGTCAGGGCATGGAGTGGCTGCACCATCTCGGAGAAGTCCTTGATGAAGCGATGGTAGAAGTTTACAAGGATAGACAGAGACTCACCAAAATCAGAGGAAGCCATAGTAAGAAGTCGGACATGGTGATGCAGTGTGAATGACTACAGACCAGGGGTTTCCATTCATCACTTCCACATAACTGACAAGCATCACCTGAAGTGGCAAAACCCACCACTTGTCCTGCTGAGATGCAAACAGTGGCTGTGCATTACTGCATACAGGCTCTCATGATTTATTACAGATTTTTCCGTGATGTTCTAAGGTGTTTTTCACATTCTCTGTGCTTTGTTTTGACCGGAGACTTCCATATTTGGGCAGAAATTGGTCTTCACAATCTCCTGAAGTGTGGATTTCAGTTCCAATGGCCAGTTCCCATCGCATCACCACCCTCATGTGTCTTTCAGACATGGTGTGGAATACTCGATTCCCATCACTATTGTAACTTCACAATGGCTGGCCTGAAACTTTGTGTATTGCTAGAACCTGATTTATTATATTTTCCATGTAAATTTCATTAGATGTTTCTGATATGGATTTCTTGTGAACATTGGCTTTTCCCTGAGCTTTGACTTCAATGTCACTGAACCTGTTGATAAATATCTCCATGATGTGTGAGCCTTTTTCTGTGGATTTTTGTGTCCATTGAGAATTGATGTCTTCCTTTCCAATGATCGTCTCAGTCATTACTGGTTGATCTTCACACTCGTTTTTGAACATCATCCTCATCTCCTACAAATCTCAACTTTTTCTCCATCATCTATTGGTAGATTTTCTTGACAACATCCTTATTGAGCTTATTTCTAAGTCATCTGCATTTTTTATTATAAACTCAACACCAGTTTCTGCATCTGTTTCCTTAAAACCATTGTTTTGTGGTACATTTCCTCAATTTCAGCCTTCCCTGAGTGTGCAGGTGTGGGAAAGTGGTTTCCATGGAGGTTTTCTGGTTGGTTCCCTGGTCAAATCTTACTGATTGGCCTTGTTCTTGCTTTAATATTCGCTATAAATTCTCCTGAGCATTCTGTCCTATTGATGCTAAGCTTGAAGTATCTATCCTCTTATTCCTACTTGTCATATGGGGGTTTTGTAATTTTCTGGCATATTTCCATAATGTGGTTTCATACAGTGACCATTATTTCTCCTACAATGGACTACCCAAGAACTTTATGAGATAATCCTTTGGCTAGGTTGCCACAGCATTTCAGACACCACCGATGTTAGAGCCAGCTACATACAGACAAATCACAAAATCCCAATGAAATGACTCATTTGACAGCAGTTGTTACAACCATGGTTGTTATTGCTTGGTAGTGTGTTGGTCACTGAGAGATCCAAAGCACAGTTAGAAATATAGTTAAAAGATGGAAACCACCATTCCCCTCAGAGGGAGAGCCAAGACCTGGTAATGAGAAACCCTGCAGTCAAATTGTTTGTCGACTGGGGCATCAACTTTTCTGAACTCATTGAGTTTGGCAGTCTCAAAAAGCATGTGGACACTTCCCTGTAGGGTAGCTTGCCCATAGGGTGCTGAGGTACTCAGTGGCCCACCGCCTCTGGCAGTGGTCCCTGCTCAGGGGTTTGCCGTCAGTTGCCTACCACTCTCCCTCTTCCCCTCAACATGGGTTTGCCCTCCTGAGGGCAGGCCCTTATGCAACCTGGACAGGGTTGCCTGCCCACAGGGTGGTAGGATAGTCAGTGCCCTGCCCCTTGTTGTGCTAGTCCCTGCTTGGGGTCATGCTTCATGAGGCCCAGAACTGTATCTCCTCTCCCTGACCTGGGAGGCCCCCTTCATTGTTATGGAAATGGGAATTTCCCATTTTAGACTCTTATGGGTTCTGTATCACATGATTTGTATAGTAATTGAGTTTATCCAATCAATAATCAAGAAAAACCTGCTGCCACACTACCTGTTCAACAACATGTTAAACCATCTGTGAAACCACCTGTAAACCCTTATGTCCAACCCCCTTCCCTATTCCTGCACCAGAACGGATGAAAATGGGCACTTCTGGCCCCATTTTTGTAACATTCATTGTGGGTTTGGCAGCAAGGTCTGCCACTTCAAGCTCACACCTAAATATTTTGATCTCCCTCTTCTGGAGATCGACTTCTCTCTCTGTGTCTTTCAAAAACCCTGAACAAGGGTAACGTGCATGAGTCCGAATGTGTCAGGGATCAGCAATGACCCTGGACTCTATGCTGGCTGCGCATATGCATGTGGGAAGTATGCCGGCAATTCCCATCTACTCTGCTTACCTAAGCCCCAGTGGCCTGGATCATCTCCAGCATTGTTCTGGAACATTCTATGATCACGTGATTCTATTGGCAATCCATTTGGTTTCCTTATTGCCAGACTCTACAAGTATATAGCTGACCCTAAGATGGGGACATCCCTTTCCCCTGGCTTTAATCACAACTAGGTTATCAGAGCAACCTGCGTGAGCACACACATGTCAGGGTTCAGCACCCTGCCCTAGGGTGCCCCAGACTCCCCAACCAATCCCTTCCTTCCATTCCTTCATTATTGCCTTGTTGTTGCCTTTCTGTGTTGTGTATCCATGCACACAGGATAGCATGGGAACTGTCATATCCGTGCATACCCAATCCTGACCCGACTCCCGGACCTCCTTCTTCACCACCTCCGGAGTCCTACCCTACCACTGTCTGTTCCGATATTCACCTTTGGTCCTGACACCACACCTCCTCTCACCCCTCATGCCACCTCCACTCCTCCATCCTTCTCCTGTCCTATCTCCATCCACTCCAATACTCACCTCGGACCAAATCCCACTCCTCCACTTCCTCCTCACAACACCTCCACCCTTCCATCATTCTCCTACCCTTTGCCCATCCGCTCCGATACTCACCTTTGGACCTGACACCTTTCCTCTCCTCCACTGTTATGGAAATGGGAATTTCCCATTTTAGACTCTTATGGGTTCTGTATCATGTGATTTATATAGTAATATAGTTTAACGAATCAACAATTACCAAAAAACCCGCTGTGCTAACATCTGTTAAACCTCAACATCTGTGAAACCATCTGTAAACCCTAATGAACCACCTCACCTCCACTTTCCACTTTCCTGCACCAAGAACAGACGAAAATGGGCGCCTCTGGCCCCATTTTTGTAACATCCACACCTTTCCTCTTTCCTCTCTCTTCCCCCTGGCCCTCTTCCGCTGACCTTCCGCCAAGTTACGACCTTCTGCTGCTGTCCCATATACCTCGTACTCGGACACCGCTCATACCTTCACTCCGAGACTCTGTCATAGTTCCTACCTCGGACTTTGACTCCACCTCAGCTTTAGTCCATTGCATTGGTGACCTCATACTACATAAACACCACTGCCAATATTCCTCGGACTTTCAACCCTGCCTCTGTAACCTCTGTAACCTCCGTAACCCCCGAGCTCCACGGATCACCTTTGGCACTTTCGCCGCTTGTAATGTATCTTTTGCGTGTTCCCCTCATCCCTATTTGGACTTCTGCTTCTTCCCATTCTAGCCAGTTAGTCATCATCCCCACTTCCCCTCATCCTCCTGCCCCTCTGGGCTTTGCCCTCCTTACCTCCTTTTGGATGTACCACAGGTTCTGCCCTATGACCTTCAGTACGGCTCTGCTTCTGTCGTCCCTTTGTTCCTGTTCAGATGCCTTCATTCCAATTTGGACCCCCTTTGTTTCCCTGTGCTTTCGCCCTCTCCATTATATATATCGGCGCTTGTACATACTCATTTTAGGCCTTAGTCTAAAATCGACCTGAAATGCCCCCTAGAGACTTCCTGCTCACCACCTATGAAATTAAGGACCAAATGGACAAACAGCAATGGCACAGCACTCCGCTTGAGTTGCTGAGGCCAAGGTCCCTCCTTGCTAAGTCTCCAGTTCCCCTCCGGAATTGTCCACCCTCACCCAGTCCTAACAGGAACTTTCTGAGCGAGCAGCTCACCCAGAATGTTCCCACAGGTCACAGCCACAGTTCTGGGCAAGCAACTCGCCCAGAACATTCCCATGCTTACTGGGCACTGCCACCTGGATGTTCCCTCTGGGTCACACTACACAACTCTAGGAGCTGTATAGTTGTGGGCATGTGACCCATTCCTTTATATAGCAACCATGTGGGGAGATGAGACCTTTACCCTTCTTCTCATCTCATGCCCCACATAGGCAAGTGTATATATTTCACTCTCTTTTACTATACATCTCATGCCCCACATAGTGTGAGGACAGGTCAGATGGGGGTTGAGGTCAGCGAGCCTCCAAGTCCGAGGCCAGGCCCTGACAATGTGTCCCCTGACAGAATGCAGGCAGGGCTCAACTAGAGGGGTTCCAAGAGCTCCGGTAGTGAACCGAAGCTTCTCCAGGAGGCCCGAGTCTGCTGGGTGGTACAAGAGGCTCTAAGGAGGATGTGGCCTCAGTGACTCAGAGGGAGCACTGTGCCTCCGTTACATCTCAGTTAGTCCTTTTATTTCATGTGTCTGAGGTATCTTGTAGGAGGAGGTAAGGATTCACTCATAGAGGGACTTGGGGTAAGTTTTAGTCAAGATTAGAACTGAGGTACAATGGGTTTTAATCTGCAAGCATATATGTAGAGGAGAAGGACTTTAGTCAAAGTCCGAGTGATACTGACAGACACTGAAAGGTACCAAATGATACTGAAAGGTACTGAAAGGTCCTGAACGATATTCTTAACAGGGAACTGAGGTGTTGGGTCGAGGAGGGCTGTCACAACCCGGCAATTCCCACAGTCAGGTGACCACTCCCCACACCTTCTCCCTCCTCCACTTCGACCCCATCAACTCCACTGCCTGCCCGTTGCCCCTCCCCATTAATGCTACCTGTTCCATGGCCTGTCATGGGCCTATGAGTCATTCCTTATCATGCTTGTTTTCTTGATGGCCTTCTCCCACGCTCTTTGTTTGTTTTCGTTCCTTCTTAAGCCCACCTGCAATCTCTGTGAGATCTGGTGACTTATTTCTATTCATTCCATTACACTTAAATACCGGTTGTACACTACCTTGTACTTTAGTTCAAAAATCAATAGGGTTACCCCCTGTGTCCTCTGTCTGACCCAGTCGCACTCTCTGTCCTCTGAAATATCGGGGCCGCGTCAAGTATGAGGTGCAATGCTCATGAACGAGTCGTTGAAGCCAAAACCACCCTTAATGGGCTGTTATGCTGGAGTAGCGGACCTTAACAGTCGCCGATGGCGAGTCACGGTAACATTTTCCCACACCCTGACAAGGGCGGAGTAGAAGGCTGGAGGATAAATGGGGATGAGAAATGGGTAAGGGGAAGTTAGCTGACTGAATAGAAAGAAGACAACAGTTGTACTATAAATGGGAGGTGACTAATTTATGATGATGTGAGCAGGATCACCAGAGGATTGTCAGGGACAGCTCCGAAAGCGGCAAGGTCCCGGTGCGAGGGACTTGATGGGACAGGTGTTGGCTATGCGTAGCGGCGGTCCCGTCGCGGGGTGAGCGTCCCCGACCACTTAGGCTGAAGTGGGAAGTTGAGAAGAAGGCTGCTTCTTCTGTTCCCACCCCAGGCGCTATTATATATATGCGGTCAGGGTCACATGGGAGAAGCCACGTCATCTCCGCACACAGCCGCGTCTCCCCAGGTGTCTCCACGGGAGATCCCAGAGGTGGCTGCTCAGTAGGCAGGAGTGTGTGCGTGGCACGTGCGGCAATCAGGGGAGCGGGGTTAGGTACATAGTGGTACATGGAGAAAAGGGAAATCGACCGTAGAATAGAAATAGAGAGAAAAGGGGAAAGTGAGAAAGGAGGGATGGGGGGTGATAGCGGGGAAAGTGGAGTAGGGCAGTACGGTGCAGGGTGCAGTGTAGGGTCAGGCGGGTGTGCCCTGACAAGGATGCGGTTAGCTCCGAAGGTGGAGTTACATATCTGAAAGATGTTGGGTGACTCCACTAAATGAAATGGGAGGGGGCATGGTTTAGAGGTAAGTCACAAGCTGTCAGGGATCCGTCAGGAGGTTGGAGCAAATCCAGAGGCTCCGAATGTTCCGACTTGGGACTGAGCTTCCGGGATGGGAGTGGCCAAGGGCGAGTGTGCCAAAATCCAGCTGGAGCTGGGACAGTTGGGAAGGAAGGTGACGTTGGAAGTGAGGGTGTAGGGGATGATGAGGTTGTTAGGAAGGTGTAGTGAGGTGGGAGAGTGCGGGGTCAGGATTCCGGGATATGACAGGTGTTGGCATTGCTTTGGTGCCAGTGCTTGTGTGGAGGAAGGTTTGGATGCTCTTGAGTGAGCTGGGCCCTCCACAAGAGAAATAGATTGAGTATAGCGGAACTGGTAAAGAATCCACTGGAGACCACTCACATTAATGAAGTCTCTGACAATGACATCTTTGATGCCATGTCCAAGGGATGGGAACATGGGGACAAGGATTTGGCAGGGGCCCACGATGCTGATGATTCCGGTGATGATAGGGCAGTTGTCTCATGTCAGGAGGGTATGGCATAACCTGTCATTACCCATACTAAAGTCTGGGAACGCGAGGGGATGGGTTATCGCAGTTTCATCTGTATTTTGATCCCCAGAACATTCCAGCCCCATTCATTTGACTTCTGACCTCGTTCCGATGTGCTTCCAGACCATCTAGCCTTCAGCCCAGGTCCTTCCCATTCATTCCTTTATATATCCTGTATGTTACCTTAGTTCTAATATCGAGTTAATCATGACCCCTCTGCTTCATCTCCTGAGCAAGGCAGGTCTGAACGGCGGAAATGTGGGGACTGAGAAACTGGTGGGCACAGCACTCATTTAGAGTTGGTGAGGCCAAAGCACCCAGCCCTTGGGCCTTGCCCCGTTCATCACTGGCACCCTTGGCTTGTTCTGGCCAGCCTCAGACTGGCCTCAGACCACCTCAGAAACCCCCAGTACCACGACCCAGTACCTGAGAGTAATCTCACTAAGCGTTTCTCAGTAAGCTCTTAGACTTTTTCACATATGGAATATCTACCGACCGATAGCAGTGGTCTTCACCAGGGGATTGACTCCCACGGCTCATAGTTTCAAACACTGCCCACAACAGGAATTTCCGATCCAGTAACTGAGTGACTCCTGCAGGAGCTGCAAGTGTCAAACACGGCTGGATCAGATATGTCCTATCTGGACATTACCTGATTTTTCATCTTCCACCTTCCAGAGTCAGACAATTAAACCCAGATCGGAAATTCAAGCCTATTTCAGCTTGGGACTGTCATGTAGTTACGCCCGGATCAGAAATGTCCGATCGGGGCCATGGTCTGAGTTCTTCATCTTTGAGTGACACAGTTGCACCTGGATCAGAAATGTTTGTTATCTGGGTGTTTTTGTGTAGAATGTTGTTGCCCATTTCACTATGCATTGCTTGGTGCATTCTGCTTTGGTACAAACAATAGGAAGAGCAATACAACACATCATAGGGTGGTGCTCCTGTTCGCAAACACAATGACAACATCCCAATAATTTCCACGATTCCAACAGAAAAAGTGAACACCACCCAGCTGGGCATTGCTGATAGTGAGTCTACTGAGTGACGCCCAGATGCAATCCGCCCAGATGCGAAATTTCCGATCCGGGCGTAATGCAACAGAATCACAGCATATCCTGTTCTCATACTAATAAGGAAATTCCTTATTAGGAAAAATATCCCATACATTCCATCCACCTTCTTAACATAGCATACTAACCCCTTTCCACATCAGCCCCTCCGCACTTCCATACGCATTACCCCTGGTGCTCCCTCGAATCATCTCCTCTTGACGTGACGCTGTTCACCACTACCATATGTCCCTTGCACTCAGTCCCAGATCTTCAGTTGAATCCACTTTCCTGAACCTCTCACTTCACGATGAAGAGCCCGATCGGCAGTTGGTCGACCTCGACAATCCTTATCCAAACCTTGTTGAAGAGGATACACTCTCTCAACAACACATCCACCAAGCACTCATCACAAGTGCATTGCATCCAGCATCGGATCAGTACCACCAAAAATTCCACCGCCTGCCTCGAACCCCATTGAGACTCCGCTACCTGAAAACATTGTATGATACAGGGAATCCTTTTGGATTTCTAAAGGTCATCGCTGGAAAGAAAGTGCAGATTGATGCAGATGAGTTCATCACACCCGCAACATCGACAGAGTATGCAATACGGGTTCCTCTTCATTGTCTCGATTTCCGCCTCCTTGTTCCTTTTGTTGGCGGCTTTGGAACATTTCTCCCCCTGGACCCAGAGGCTTGGTCCTGGACATTCACACTGGACCTGGGCCATCCTCAACGTACATTTAACAATGCACGAGGATTTCTTGGTTTTGACCCCACCGGTTCGATGTTATACATCGGGATGACTCCTTCAGGGAACTCTGTGTTCCTTGGGATGGCACCCCAAGCTTTCTTCAATAAAGACTTTGTGCCAGCTGGACATGCATCGAAGGAAGGATGGAATCAGACTTGCATGTCGACACGTCTGTATCGGATGCTGGTGTCATTCTTCTGCTATGGGATGAATGCACTTGTAGAACGGGCATTCCCCCTGGTGGACTCTTATGGGATCAATCTTGAGGGTCGAGCGAATTGGGAGGATGTGAATCCTGACCTGTGCGTATGGGATTGTGATTGTTGGTAAAATTTGACTTATGGCTGCTGTGCAGGTTGACGAATCAGAAGTTTGACCTCCGGCTTAGGGATATGCTGAAGCTGGAGAGTGTGTTCACGACTGAATTTGAGGAATTTCGGGACAATTCTCCTCAAGAGTGGAAGAGAAATGAGATCTGGCGGACATGTCGACCAATATTTGTGTCGATGAAATATGGGCAAAACCTGCCAATAAACATTTCGTCCGAGGAGGCCTTTGAGCTGACGGCATCCCATTGGAATGATGAGCTGGACTATACACGGGTACAGTTTTTCTCATTTGCATTAGCCACAGAAATCAGGTGCGTTCAAGTTTGAAGGGTTCATGTTGGTGACTGATTGGAGACGTATAACAGTGCAACTAAAGTGGAGGAGTGGGAGCCTATCCCAACTGGAGACATCACCAGGTTGTATGATGAGATCTATACTGGAGATGGGATGCAAGTGTTTGACGCCGAGGCAGTGCCATATGAAGAGGAGGGACGAGAAGTAGAGTTTTTCGACAAAGAAGGCAACAAGATTGCTCGTCGAAACCCCATCCATGCACCTGGGCAAAACAATGGTGCAATGCTAGTCAAACTTGACACCGCAAGCCACATGTTTGTTGCATCATCTTCCCATCTCGATGATTCTGAGGATGAGGACGAAGAAACGTTTGATACAACGTTTGGGATGGAGGCAACAGGAGGGAGACGAGGAGGGAGGCATCCTCCAGTGCATGCAGAACATTCTTCGGTGCAGCTGCGAACGTACCCACTTGCATACCTGGGTAGCCTTGGGCAAGTCCAGTCCAACATGATTCTGCCACAGTTTCAGAAGATCATCCATGAGATCGTCGACATCATCGACGAAGCATCGGTCTCAACGACACTTGATGGCAGCGACGATGATCCATTTAGTGAACACATGGAGTCAGTGCCACGATCAACGACACAATCAATCCAAGGAGTGTTCTTACAAATGTACCAATCATCGTTCCACCGTGCAGCACCTCGAGCAGGAGGTGGAGAGGTGGATCATGGATGGATCACCGCAGCAGCAGCTGGGACATGCAATGGTGACCCAAAACAATCCACTCGTGTTCAGCGGCATCAAGATCGATGCAGTTCCATGCTCCCCTTTGACCATTGGAGGAGCCGGATGGATAGACGAGACACGCCAACGAATCTTCGGTGTGAACAATACTATATTTTAGATTTGTCACACCTCCCATCGAGGGTACGAACTGGAAGGTGAGTGATGGATCGATTCTGAATCATGGGTGTGGATGATGAGATCGTGTGTGTTTGTTAGATGGATACTTGGCGAGATTATTACACGATTGCTGCATGGATGGCGTCACCCAGACGTGGTGAACACAGTCAAGGAAAACTGTGTGATCGTTCAGCCTGGGGTGAGTGGATATGAGAAGGACGCCCGGATCGGAATTTTCTAATCCGGGCGTAATGATGTCGATCTGTTCGCTGATGTATGGATGGATTTGGGCCAGATATTCCCAAAGATATATCAGTGGACGATGCATGGATTCACCCATCTGCTGCGACAATATTGGATGCATGTCGAATCGCTGATAGCAAAGAAGGAAGCCATTGACCCTTACCATCTGGAGGTGATTGCTAGTTTGGAACGAGCAATCGCATTTGGGCACAGTGGGAGTGGCAAGGTGCTTAGCACATCTCTCATGGACCCACTGTGGCTGTCTCTCGGGTTAGGGACAACAGGGTTCCCAAGCTTGAATCTGGACATCATCCGATTCGAGCCACATGCAGCAAATGGGTTGGTACCTCTGACCATATTCAGCGAAGGATGGCCATGGACCCAAAGACAGTCTGTCGCTGGACCTGCGTTTGCATCGAAACGTTCATGGATCTTTAACTATGGGCGGCCTAATTGGGAGGTGAGTCGAATCATCATTATATCATTATGGGATGATGTAACCATAGGTCATAGATGTACTGGTTGGACTTGTACATCCGTTTCATCAAAGATACATATCGTGAAGGATCATCGGATAAATCACTGCAGGAGCAGGTTCATTCGATGCTCGTGAAACTCATCGTGGATGCATTGGTGGAGGATGCAGTGGCGAACGTGGTCCAGGGGGTTCGCAAGCAGCTTCGAGAGTTCATGAGGGATTCAACACTGAGTGAAGTAGAGCTGTCATTCCAGAAGGAGCGGAGTGCCTCAGTCAAGAAACTCAAGCAACTCGATAACCCTCTTGGAACAATCGATGGACGAAGGGTACTGCGGAAGTGTTTGTGGGAGAATGCCTCAGACATGGAGTCTCAGCTGACACTTCCAAACGAGACAACAATGAATGGCCAACAATTTGTCAATGAGGCATACGACATTGCCTTGAAGCGACCAAGGACACCATGGGGGGGTCCATTCTTTCATGATGGCAAAGCCGCACCAATATGGCACAAAGTCATTCAAGAATATTCAAGGTCTTCAAGGAAGACAGCAGCAGAGATCAAGAGCCGTCTCTGTGATCGAGTCCATCATGAGCTCGTGGTCAAGGGGCAAGTGGCTGCACTGCCATGGAAGGCAAATGCCCAGCAACGTTATCCACGGTGGAATGGATGGGTTCGATTCACAGTGGGGAAAGAGTCTGGAATGCCAGGAGGACGTCGGGGCGGGAAAGGAGTCATGACCATGGAAGAAGAGATGGATGCAGCAGCAGCAAAAGCCGTGGCTCAAGAGGATGATGAGAATGAGAATGTGGAGTGGGCGATGAAAGACTTCGACCTCAGTGAGCTGCCACGAGTGTTGAACAGAGCACAATTGCCGAGCGATTTTGGATTTGGTCCAAAGGATGTGGAGCCAACATCAAACGAAATGGTTGCATGGATGAAAGAGTCATATGATGGAAAGTCTCCTGCACACAGGATGGCACTGTTTGGGGCAATCATCCTGTCACGAATGGCGCCATGTCACTCAGTGGACATCCAAGGGACATCGTCACGGCAGGGAGGGAGTGACTTAACAAGATGGGGATCTCAGCTGGGGTGGAAGGATAACGCTGGCACTACTCAGGGGAACAAGGGGCGACTGGACAAAACAACAATGTTTACATGTTGGCTCTTGTTCATTGGCATGCACCTTGACAAGACCAGTCCATGGTACACCGTGCACAATGGGAGAATGAACAAGACGTTCAAGGCGAAAATGGGTAAGGAGGTGTATCAGAATGGCTGGAGAGATATGTAGCTGAATGATTTATGATGTAGGCGCAAAAGGAGTACTTGGGACAGTGGTCACACGGATTGGCCTTATGGAGCCATTGACACAGAAGGGGTTCTTTGGAGGAGTCCTGGGAACGGACTATCGTGCATACAAAACAAGACAGATGGAAGGGGTGTACAAGCGATTCACAGAGCAGCTTTTAGGAGGAGGAGCATATGCACTGTATGGTGCGATCTCCATGTTGGTTGGAGAGGAGATGGCATCACAATTGTGCAAAGAGCACAAGATCCATAGCCCATTGGGGCTACCTGGAAGCATGCCACGACGGAGTGCATCAAACACATCGATTCGAACTGTGTCTGAACGAGACACCAGCGACTCAGATGTGGAAGGACAGGCACCAAAACGACAGCGGAGATGAACAGAACACATGGAGGGGAAACGAAGATTACAGATAGAGAATGAGTATAGATGGAAGATGGCGTAAATTCATGATGTAAGGATAATACTAGTTGCTATACACACAAACCTAGTCTCGATATGAAGAACTAATATCATCAAGTGATGTGAAATCAGGGTAAAAAGGAAAAGATATCACCTTAGTCTTGGGTGTTGAGGGGGCATCGACTTTGCTGAACTCATATGTGGTCCAAAGACGTTGAAGGAAATCACAGAAATGCCTCTGTTCTCTATCCACACCTTCTTGGCGGAAGATTTGCTTCAGGGTGATCGACTCAGGAATGGAATGATAGAGACGATTTCCAACATGGCTGAGGTCATGCTTCAGATTAGCTGTGGTAAATAAAGGGGCTTCACCAACTGGTGGGAGTTGAACTCCCAAAGAGGATTAGGGACATGCCAGCCAGTTGGTCATCTGCTGCTTCAGGGAAGATATCTTTGAGCCGACTGATGACCTTTCCAGCAGTTCTACACCCAACCATTGACTTCTCATCAAGGATAATCAACTTAATGTCCTTCCACCTGGCTTGAAGACATGCTTTCCCAGAATTTGTTAACCCCACCCACTTCTTGGCACCAATTCCCAAAGCATAATGGATTGTCCAGCCCCTAATTCCAAAGCTGCCACACCTGTGGGTGCAAGATGCACAACAGGGGATCCAAGGATGCCATTGTCAGAAGACGGACTGAAGACAGATGGGTGTCTGTCTGAGTCAGGGTTGGAGGTGTTGTGTTAGACACTGGTCCGGGGTCGGCACCGAAGGTCGCCAATGCGGGCCGCTATTGGCCGCGATGGCCACGATGCCTTGAACAAGGCCCGAGGGTAGGGCATTTGGCCTCAGCAACTCTAAAGGGAGTGCTGTGCCCCCTAGCTGTCTCTTGGCCCTCATTTCAGACTCACTGGGGTTGCCTTGTTGGGGTCAGGACTTTAGGGGTCGTGGTCACATCGATATTAGAGCTAAGGTACAATAAGGTATCATACAGGATATATATAGGAGGAAGAAATGAATGGAAGCGGACCCAGGCCGGAGGCCGAAGGGTCTGGAAGCAAACAAGAATAAGGAGCGGGGTTGGCCGCATAACAGCCGGCAATGACCGAGGGTCAAAACAAACAATAACAGATAAATAAAGGAAAGAGCATAGGGCCGCAATAGCGGCGATGGTATTGTAGTGGCGCTGGACTTGGAGTTGGGCCGGAGTCGGGCGCGGGGATGATAGCGGCCCTGTAGGGGCCAAGTGGGTGGGGTAGGGGAGTCGTGCTGGGCACGGTGCTGGAGGTGGACTCAGGGTGGGGAGGTTGGTGCAGCAGTGGGGGAGTCAGCCAAGCCTAGGGGAGCCTAGGGGCAAGCAGGGAAGTGAGCAGGGAGTCCTCAGGGAGGATAGGGCTGAGGTCGGGGCTCGCGCTCACGCTCGCATGGCAGTAACGGGCTCGGGCGGCATCGGGACGGGCCGGGAATGGGCTGGAATGCACGGCCATGACATGTTGGCCGAAGTCTGTTGGAGTGTGCACACACGGATATGTGGGCGGAAATATGCGGCACATCTGGAAGCACTGTTCAAGGTTAGCAGAGTGGGATCGTGGCCTCAGCAACTCAAGTGGAGTGCTGTGCCCTGAGCTTGATGTTTTGGGGAGATCCTGTATTTACAGATCAACACTTACAGTGGACTTCAAATGAGACTTGCAGGCGGAGCAGGCCTATAGGAGGAGCATGGACCCCACGATGTCGGGGCACGCCCCAACATGCCCCACCTGACCCCTGCTCTGCACTGCACCTTCTTCCTTTCCTTTTTCTTTCTTCCTTCTTTCCTTCTTCTTTCTTTCTCTCTCTCTCTTACATGGACCACCTTTCCCACTGTCCAATGTATCACCAGGGCACACACCCATTTCCCCTCCTGTATCTTACCATCCTTATATCGCCATCACCGCTGCCGTGATCACCTTGTGCCTACAACGGACCCTCTTGGGATCTCCCGCAGAGACACCTGGAGAGTGTCAGAGACCAGACTTGAGACGAAAGAATGTCTCCGTAACGGAGGGCTTCGGCCTCAGCGACTTCTGCCAGGAGCGCTGTGCCTAGTGACACGTCCGTGCCCTAACTTACTGACTGGCAATTAGAACCTAGGGGGGGAACTCTAGTTGATTTTTCTACTGGGGCGTAACCTATGTACAAGTGGGATATATATATGGTTACAGTGGAGACGGTTCCGCAATTGGCGGAGCCGAACGGAGCGGAGCTAACGGGGTTTAACCATTAGCCGACTGAATATTACCGACGAGTCGGTTCACGGGGTTAGCGGAAAGGCAGGCGATAACCCAGAAACGGAAAGGAGGGATAAGCCCGAAGGTGGACTCTGCAGGGCAGGCGAGTGTATTGCTCAGCGGAGGCAGGGGTGCGCTAGCGGACGTCGGAGCTGTCCGGAAGTCTTCGGGGCTCCGTACTTAGGGAGGCGTAGGTAATAAATTGGAATGGGGGGGTGGTGACCATCGAGGGGTACCGAGAGGATTGCGGAATAACGGGGGCTCCGAGGTTAGTGAGGGAGGAGCGGAGTTGGAACGGAGGAATCGGAGGGACCGGAAGTCGATGGCCGGGGATGGATATGACAGAGAGCCATGGCTGTGTGCAAGGGTGACATGGTGCACCCCTCGTGATCGACCCCGCATGTATATAATAACAGCTGGAGTGGGAACCGAAGAAGTAGCCTTCTTCTCACATTCCCACTTCAGACTAAGTGGTCAGGGATGCTCACCCCACGATGGGACTGCCACTACACATAGCCACTATTCGTCCCACTGAGTCCCGCACGCCAGGACCTTGCCGCTTTCGGAGCTGTCCCTGACACAGTGAAGACCATGTGATGGGGTCACATGGGTGGAAAACTCGAGCAAGGGCTCGAGAACAGCCAAAAACCCCTGACAGGGAGGCAAGACAAAAACACACCTCAGGGTAATTGAAAGAAAGTACCATGAAGGTTGGCCCAATCCTAGTCCAGAAGGACTAGAACTTCCAAATGTACCACATCTGGAAGGACTCCATGAAAAGCCCTGAGTTCAAATCAGGGAGTGGAGAGAGAGAGAAATTTGAAACTGTAATGGTGCCAGCGCCATTAGAAATGCCTCCCTTGAGGGAGGTGAACCATCAAATCCTGTTAAAGGATCTGAACAAGAAATTTCGGGAAAACACCCTGAGATGTCCTGCAGCACTGCAGGAAGCACTAGCGACCAAAATAGATTGCTATGTAAAAGCAGGATGGTGGTATCCCACGAGCAGTGAGCAAGCATGCCCGCTACTATGCATCCACAAAGCAGATGAATCTTTGTGCATGGTAATCGATGCAAGAAATTGATATTCAAAGACAATTCTCGACGTCACACCAATGCCAGACATGCGACTGATCCAAGAATCAGTCACCAGAGCAACATACCGATCTAAGATCAATATGTCGGACGCATATGAACAAATACGCATGGATCCAGACAATGTTCTCTATGCCCCACAGGAAATACAACTCAAACACAATGCAGCAAGGAGACTGCAACACTCCCTGTACCTTCCAGTGTGCGTTGACCTGGGAACTACAAGGAGAAGTAGGCAGATGCCTACATGTCTGGTTCGACAATATCTTCACCAGCACAAGCTTGGTGGAGAACCACAATAAAGTACTATTGTGGTTGTTTACTCACCTCAAGGGGGCGAAGTTTTATATAAGCCGGAAAAAATTCCAGCCATTTGCTCCAATCCTAGATGTCCTAGGAAGCTGCATGGACGAACAAGGCATCCGTGCTCAAGTGGATAAAATGGAAAAAATCTGCAACTGGCAAGAGCCAGTAGACCACACAGGAGTCCTAAGATTCCTGGGAATGGTAGAATATCTATCAATATTCATGCTGAATGTCAGTGGCTACACAGGGCCACTGCAAACAACCTGCTCAAACAAGCAGACATTCAGGTGGACACCACTCCACCAGAAATGCTTTGATGAGATCAAATGTCTTGCATGCAGGGCTCCAATTCTAAAGCCTGTCCAGTGGAACCCACCGGAAAACCTCTCAGAAGAAGAGAGGAGTAAACTCCATGTCTGGGTCATAACAGATGCATGCCCAGTGGGCATGGGCGCACTAATTGGACAAGGCGAAAAGTGGCAGACCTGCCACCTGGCCACATTCATGTCCAAGAAGTTCACCAACACACAACATAGGTACTTTGCCTACAAACTCGAGGCTGGGCATCCTCAAGGCACTCATGAGATGGCAAGATGATCTCATGGGAGGCCATGAATTCACAGTAATCACGGATCACAAAGTGTCAGGGACGCGTCCGGGGTCGAGAGGGCCCAGGGGTAATACCCGGCACTGAGGCCGTCGCGGGGTGTGGAGCGGGCGTGCGTACTGGCGGGCCCGATCCGGGACAGTGGTCCCTGGCCACTCAGACTGAAGTGGAGAATGTGTTATTATTATTAAAGGGGAAAACTATGCTACTTACCTGAAGTGGAGAATGTGAGAAGAAGGTTACTTCTTCGGTTCCCACTTCAGGTACATTTATGTACATGCGGCTTGAGTCACATGACAGGTGCCACGTCATCCTCGGAGGCAGCCACAGGCATCCGGGTGTCCCCGTGGGGGATCCCGAGAGCGTCCGCTACATGCGCGTGTGCTGGGCACAGCGGGAAGCCGTCTGGGGTGTGTGGGCCGGACGGGTCAATAGTACATCGATACAAAGGAAGGTGGTCCGTGTAGATAGAAAGAAATAAACAGGAAGAGGAAGATGAGAAGAATGAAATAAAGAAAGGGGAAAGAATAGGGAAAAGAAAGGGGAGGAGAGGGAGGAAGGAGGGGGGAGGGGGATAGACAGCGGGGAGCGGGTGTGGTGTGGCCAGGTGGGCCCGGGTGGGCCCGGGTCAGGCGGGTGTGCCCTGACACAAAGCTTTGGAATATTTCAAAGCAAAAAACCACAACTCAGGTAG